TCCATAATAATGAAATAGAATAGATTAAAGAGTAATAATATCAATTTCAAAAAATAAAAATAAAAAAATAAAACGGCCAATAAGAAATGCATTGGCTTTTCCCTAATGAAAAAGTGTGACATTCAATATTATATTGTGATAAAAACACACCAATCCACAAATACTTAATACATTAATCTTTACTATCGAGCTGTTATTTTAGTTTTACCGTTAAACAATGTCGAGAAAAAAGACAGTGTAGTAGAAATAATAACACAAAACCTTTATATATAATCATTAAACGGAATAATAATTGAAATAAAATCAAATGTAATGCAACGCAAAATAAGGAATTCTGCATTAGTATTTCACTCGTTAAAAATACAAATTCCACCCGAGTAAATGAAAAACTGTAAATCGTTTTGTAAATACTGTAAATACAAAAAATCTAATATTGTGATATAAACACATCAAGCTATATTAATCTACACATATACTGATCTTGTATACAATAGTGGTTTTGTGTCTATTGTAAAACCATTTATTTTAACTGACATTTAATTCCATTATTTTGTTTTTTGTATATTCACTGGGTTTTAAGTTCACGAATTTTCCAGGGAAACAAAGCGTTATATTGTTATTTTACATGTTCATGTGGATTTGATTCAGTGGATTATACTTATCACCGAAAATAGGGATATTAAAACCCAGTGAACATTTGATGCATTTACAGTAATCTTATTTTAATGTAAAGAGGAATATTTATCTAGATTACAATAAATTTCTATCACTGATTTAAAATTAAAATGTGAAAGTTATGTTGGAATAAATAACATTTAAAACATAAACAACCATAAACCATCAGTTTATGTTGTTACCGACTTGATGATGTTTTAATGTTACACAAAATATACAAATGAAATAATGATGTACAAATACAATATACATATATATATACGAACTATTTGAACTGTTTTGGTACATGTACAAATGGTAGGCATTGCCAAACTGACGTCATACATGGTAAACATTTACAAGATGTCAAGGAGTTTAAAATAAAACAAGCCATGCATGGCACAGTCCCGTTAGTTATCAAATTTAAGATACATGTATATCGTTTTGTTTATAGTAATATAGTTGGAACATAAACATGTCAGAAATATGGATCCAGGAGATGATGCTTTAAGATGATTGACATCTTGTATCCGATCGTCAAACGAGTACTTGGACATATTAAGAAATATTGCTCTGGGACAGCATTAATTAAAACAAAATGGCCACCAGTCGGCCATTTTAAATACATCTATATCTCTATAAAATGATGTAAAACGAATATATAAAACATAATGAGTCAAAGCATATCAGAGATATGGCTCGAGAAGTGCATTCATTTAAACAAAAGGGCCGCCAGTCAGCCATTTTGAATTCGATTTGAAATATAAAATGTGCATCAAGGTCCCATAATATCCACCGTATGTACAAAGTTTGAACAAAATCCATCCATAAACGCCAAGATCCAGTTCTAGAATGCCAGAAATGCTTGATTATTGATGATTTGTTAGCACATGAATGACTGTCATTTGGCCATTTTGAATCAGATAGTCAAACCAATACATCTATGTCACGATGTATAATGAATATATAAAATTTGACCATAATCGGTCAAAGCATATCAGACATATGGCTCAAGAAGTGCATTCATTAAAACAAAATGGCCTCCAGTCGGCCATTTTAAATCGGATCTGAAAAATAAAATGATGTGCATCAAGGTCCCATATTGTCCAACGTATGTACCAAGTTTGAACAAAATCCACCCATAAACGCCAAGATCCAGTTCTGGAATGCCAGAAATGCTTGATTTTGATGATTTTTAGCACAAAAATGGCTACCATTTGGCCACTTTGAATCAGATAGTCAAACCAATACATCTATGTCATGATGTACAATGAATATATAAAATTTGAACATAATCGGTCAAAGCATATCAGAGATATGGCTTTAGAAGTGCATTCCTTAAAACAAAATGGCTGCCAGTCGGCCACTTTAAATAGGATCCGAAAAATAAAATGACGTGCATCAAGGTCCTATAATGTCCAATGTATGTACCAAGTTTGAACAAAATCCACCCATAAACGCCAAGATCCAGTTCTGGAATGCCAGAAATGCTTGATTTTGATGATTTTTAGCACAAAAATGGCTACCATTTGGCCACTTTGAATCAGATAGTCAAACCAATACATCTATGTCATGATGTACAATGAATATATAAAATTTGAACATAATCGGTCAAAGCATATCAGAGATATGGCTTTAGAAGTGCATTCCTTAAAACAAAATGGCTGCCAGTCGGCCACTTTAAATAGGATCCGAAAAATAAAATGACGTGCATCAAGGTCCTATAATGTCCAATGTATGTACCAAGTTTGAACAAAATAAATGCTTGGTTTTGTTGATTTGTAGCACAACAATGGCCACCATTCGGCCATCTTGAATCAGATAGTGAAACAAATTGATGTGCATATGTATAATATTATGTAAGTGTGAAGTTTGAATGTGATTGGTCCAGCCATGTCTAAGATACATGGACGCACGGATGCACGGACGCACAACGGTCAAAACTGCGTCCGAAACGGACTAATAATAGATGTGTATTTACATTGTTATTGGGCTGTATGAAAGCCTCTGGACTTTGATGATTGATGTCAAATCCTTAAATAATTCGAAAAATATTCAACAGTTCAGTTTAAAATTTTGCTTTAAATTCTACAATTGTTTTTCCCATTAAATAGTGTTTATTATATCCTCCCATGTTACTGCGTCTACCATTCTAAACACAATGACTACATACGTCAGAGCTACAGTGAAAGCTATGATGGGAGAGAATTAAATGAATTGTTTTGAATTTCTAATACCAAACAATATTCTTGTATTGGCTCTTACAATTTGTTTAAATGTGTCTTGACAGTTTCATGTTCAAATTATCAATCACAAGCGAGAGTCAATAGTTTGAAATTAACAGCATTATTCTTCAAGAGGGTATGTTATCTGATATATTGGTCCAGGTGAGGTAATATTTGTAGGTATATCATCATCATTGTGACCCAGGATAAAAAAAACACATAAAACAATCTAATCTAGAGATAACATCATTTGTTTTGTTGAACACTAGTAGTAACACATATGTTCATGAATTAAATTTTTCGTTTTTTGGTAAAAAAAAAACTACGTTTAAAAAGTTAGCAAGATGACGTCTTGTTTACATTAGGATGTCCTAATAGTCTTGAGTGTTCCCATTCGCTAATTTAGATTTTCTAGTCAATCTAGTTAGGCATTAAAAATTGTTTGCAAATTTAACACAGATTGGAATTTATTCAGTATGTGCAAATAGTTTGAAAATGTTTAACATTCGTTAATGTAAAATTTTGATTTAGTCTGTAATTCGGCAGATCAAATCATATGTTGCTCAACAGTAATCTCCAAATCAGATATATGCATATTCAACAATACAATAACAAGTGCACGTCCCTAAGTACGCAGACTAAGGTTTCGATCGTTTTATAATTGTCCAGATGATGTAGATACACATATAATAATGAGGTTATTTACGTAAAAAGCATGCGGTAATGCTGGAAGCAATGTTGATATTCCTTCTCTTGCTACACGATCAAAAAAGATTGCTTCTCGCAATACCAAGATTTTCTGCAGCATTTACCATGAATAACTTACATGGCATGTAAATTTGATGTTAATTATAGATGTGTATTGTGTTACGTCTTCATATTTCTGTTTCACCTGTAAAGATACTACATATATACATATCGTTAGTTCAACGTAAAAAATAATATTTGCAAAAACATTATGTAATCCCTATTATATTCTCCAAATATTTTCTGCTATTTTGTATGCCCTGTTTTGCATATGGCAAT